TGACTACATTTATTTCAGAAGCATTTTGGCTGTAGAGCAGTGACAGGTCCCCAAAAGCTGTGCCAATAGCCACAGATCACAAGAATTCAGCAATGCTCTGTGAACACTCGCTTCAAGCACATCCTCTACACCAGGGAGCAAGATGCAGGCTATACCAAGTCTACACAACCCAGGGACTGCACCATATCAGAGGAAACCTCAGCTGCCCAATTAAGGCAGCTTTACAGCCCCTTTGCCCCACCAAAAAGGGGCTGTAGCCTGGACCAGGATCTGAGCCATTTACATTTGTTTAATTTTGAAGTTATGCATTCAATGCTATTTCTATACTATTTATCTGAATCAATGTCTTGTTCTTAATCTTCTTGTTTGTGTTTACTTTGCCTGGCAATAATAAACTGCAGGCAGCATTATCGGTAACTAAAAAAGCAAGACTTCTTTGCGTGTAGTTTTATACCAACTTGCTGGTATGGTTTATAAACTCATTTGGCTTTCTCTTTAAAGTATCTTTGAATGTTTAAGTTTTAGTCTTTCCCAAACTCACATGGGCCCATGATTAAGCTGCAGCCAGGTCATTAATACAGTCAATACTGAAAAGTGACATACTGAAAGATATCTTCGAGTCTCTCAACTTCATCCTCCAAGTTTTGCTCCTCCACCACACGCTTTGACAGAACTTCAAGTCTTTCATCCAGCCAACTGGATAATCGTTCAAGGCTACAAAGAGAGAAAAATCAGTTAGCTCCTCAGTCATAAAAAGAAGTGATTTTACTCTTCAAAAAGAAAAGCTTTAGAAATAAAACTGCATTCTCTAAAAATCAGGACATAAGAACGGCCATACTGGGGCAGACCAATGATCCATCTAGCCCAGTATCTTGTCTTCCACCAATGGCTAATGCCAGGTGCTTCAGCGGGAATGAACGTGAACAGATAATCATAGAGTGATCCATCCCGTCGCCCATTCCCAACTTCTTGCAAAAAGAGCATAGGGACACTTCAGAGAATGGTTTTGCATCCCTACCCATCCTGGCTAATAGCCATTGATGGACCTATCCTCCAAGAACCTATCTAATTCTTTTTTGAACCCTGTTATAGTCTTGGCCTTCACAACATACTCTGGCAAAGAGTTCCACCGATTGACTGTGCATTGTGTGAAGAAATACTTCCTTTTGTTTGTTTTAAACCTGCTGGCTATCATTTGGTAACCCCTAGTTCTTGTGTTATGAGAAGGAATACATTTATTTACTTCCTTTTTACCTTCTCCACATCAGTCACGATGGGATAACCAGATCTGCACGCAGTATTCCAGATGTGGGCATACCATGGATTTATATAGCGGCAACATGATATTTTCTGTCTTATTTATCCCTTTCCTAATGATTCCCGACATTTGGTTCGCTTTTTTGATTGCTGCTGCACATTGAGTGGCTGTTTTCAGAGAATTATCCACAATGACTCCAAGATCTCTTTTTTGAGTGGTAACAGCTAATTTAGACCCCATCATTTTATATGTATAGTTGGGATTATGTTTTCCAATGTGCATTACTTTGCATTTATCAACACTGAATTTCATCTGCCATTTTGTTGCCCAGTTTTGTGAGATCCCTTTGTAACTCTTCGCAGTCGGCTTTGGACTTAACTATCTTGAATAGTTTTGTATCATCTGCAAATTTGCCACCTCACTGTTTACCCCTTTTTCCAGATCATTTATGGTTATTTTAAACAGCACTGGTCCCAGTACAGACCCCTGGGGGACACCACTATTTACC